ATTTGCTTTCTATAGGTCTTATGTCTTTTTTTCCTTCTCTTCCTCCATCACTGACTTCTTTTTGTTAAATAGATATTTCCTAGCGTACCATTTTAATTTCCTTGTCATTTCTTTTACTGTTTTGGGGGTGTGTGTTTTGTTTTGTTTTGTTTTTGTTTGTTGTTTTTTGAGACTTTTGAACTAACATCTGAACTTACAACAATCTACTGAAAATTAATACCAACTTATTTTCAATAATACACTAAAAACTTTACTTCTCTTTATCTGTTCCCTCTCCCCTCCTTTGTGTTATTATTGTCATACAAATGACGTCTTTATACAGTATATGCCTATCAACACAGATTTGTAATTATTGCTTTATGCAGTTGTCTTTCAAATCAGGAGGGAAAAAAAGGATACACAAACATCAATGTAGTTTATTTCTTCACATGGATTTGAACGTTCCTTCATTTCACTAGGAAGTATTCACTTTAATATTTTACATAGAACAGATCTGCTAGTGACAAACTTGGTTTTATTTATCTGAGAACATGTTAGCATCTTTTAGAAGAATAATTTTGCTGGAAATTTTGGGAAGATTTTAGTCATTATTTCTTCAAGAATTTTTTCAGCTCCCTTCTCTCTTTGCTCTCATTTCAGGACTCCCATGATGCACATGTTAGTATGCTGGATGGTATCCCACAGGTCTCTGATGCTGTTTATTTTTCTTCATTCTTTTTTTACTTTCTGTTCTGGAGAATGGATAATCCCAAGTGACCTATCTGCAAGTTCACTGATTCATTATTCTGCAAACTCAAATCTGCTGTTGAGCCCTTCTAAATTAATTTTTTTCATTTCAGTTATTGCACATTTCAACTCCAGGATTTCTATTTGGTTCTTTTTAGTAATTTCTTTCTTTCTTTCTTTCTTTTTTTTTTAAAGATGACCGGTAAGGGGATCTTAACCCTTGACTTGGTGTTGTCAGCACCACACTCTCTCTCCCAAGTGAGCCACAGGCCGGCCCCCCTTTTTAGTAATTTTAATTTCTAATTGACAATCTCTATTTGGTGAGACATCATACTCATACTTTCCTTTAGTTCTCTGAACACATTTAAAACAGCTTATTCTCATGGACAGTTTCTATCAACTGTTTTTTCTCCCTGTGTACCAGTCATACTTGGTTTCTTTGTTATCGCTCATAATTTTCTGTTAAAAAGAACATTTAAAATATAATGTGGTAACTGTGGAAATCAAGATACCTCTCCCCAAGTTTAGGTTATTGGTACTGTTTATTTATTGACTTCTCTAAAGTAATTCTGTAAAGTCTGTATTCTTTGACAAGTATACCCACTGAGATACTTGCTTAGTTGGCTTAGTGGTAATCATGGGTTGCACAGAGACATGTTTAAACATCTGGAATCAACATGGCTCCCAGCCTTGCCAAAGGGCTCTCCCTTAGCCATCAGGTCTTGCTTGCATAAAGCCTCAAGGTCAATCAAAGCAAGAATTTAAGGCCCTCTTAGGTTTTTGAGCACATGCACAGCCCTGGACATGGCAACGCATATGCATATATACATGGCCTTCTAGATTCTCAGTAATAAAAAGCTTTGGAGCTTTTCAAAGCCCCAGTAGACATCTAATTTCTCAGTTTTTTTTTTTTTTCTTTTAAGCTTTTGATTAACCTACTGTTTGCCCCAACTGTTATCCACTGCCTTAGGCAGTCACAAAGTTAAACAAATGCCTCTACATGTTCTAGACAGATGCCCCCCCACACCCCCCAAAGAAAAAGATTTGCAATGGGTAAGCTGCCAGTCAGGTCAATTAAAGAAAGGCGCTACGAAAGGGAATTCCTAGTAAAATGCCAAACAGGTCAAGTAATGACTGCTGTCCAAAGATGATATTTCTAGAGAGCTCCAAATCCTCCAGTGGCTGCTTGCTACTGTTTTTAGAGTTATCATGGGAACTCTTAGTTTTCAAGACTACTACAGAGCCAAGGAAAGAGGACTCGAAATAGGGCAAGTTAAAATACCACAAAACTCACTATTTTATTAAGATGTGGCCATTTTTCTTGAATAAATGCGCCTTGAATTGTTGCACACCTTTGTTTAATTTCCAGAATCCTGAAAATAGTTAATTTTGACCCTTTTCAGCAATTGTCTCATTGCTTTTATGAAGGAGGGACTTTTCGGAGGTCCTTACTTCACTATTCCTGATGATGTCAGTTTATTTTTTATTTTGTTAATTCCTGCTCTTATTTTTATCATTTCCTTCTACTATCTTTTGGTATATTTTGCTGGTCTTATTCAAACTTGTTAAGATTGATAAGTTGCTCATTAATTTTCAGCCTTTCTTCTTTTCTAATACACACATTTAAGGTTATATATTTCCTTCTAAGTACTATTATAGCTGCATTCCACAACTCTTGCTTTATAATTCAGTTCAAAATATTTTCAATTTCAGTCATGCTTTCTTTTACCCAGATGTATCTTAGAAGTGTACTTCTTAATTTCCAAACATAAAGGAATGTTTTAGTTTTCTGCTACTAATTTCTAGCTAAATTTTAATTGTGTACTGTCATCAGAAAAACATTATATTATTTTAATGCTTTGCAATTGGAGACTGTATTTATGGCTTAAATGTGGTAATTTTTAAAAATGCATGTTTTAGTTTTCTGCTACTAATTTCTAGCTAAATTTTAATTGTGTACTGTCATCAGAAAACATTATATTATTTTAATGCTTTGCAATTGGAGACTGTATTTATGGCTTAAATGTGGTAATTTTTAAAAATGCTCCATTACACTTGAAAAAAATTATAGTCTGAAGTTGTTGGGTACGTATTCTATATATGTCCACGAAATAAAATTTGGTAATCTTGTGTGCATTTGTCCTTATGTATGTAAGTTTTTGTTTTATTTATTTTGAGGCTATATTATCAGATGTGTTTATATTTAAAACAATTGTGTCTTCCTAGTTAAGTTTTATTAATATGAAGTGAGCCACTTGAGTAACAGTAAATTTTTTGTCTTAAAGTCTATGTTTTTTCCTGATATCAATACAACTACATTGGCCTTCTTTATATTAGATCTGCATAATATATCACTTTATGACCCTTTTACTTTCAATCTTTCTGTATTCTTATGTTTACATCTAAATCTTGAAAACTGCTTAAGGTTCCTTCACACATGCAAAGACCTGTTTGGATTTTGTGAACCTTAGGAGTGAGAACTTTGAAACAAGAGCAAATGTATACATCTTTAGAGTTCTGTGGCTAAGATCTCCCCTGAAAGAATTCCTATCTTCTCTAAGTTTACAGGAAAGGCAAGTCCTGTGAATCATTTGCATTGCTTTCACTGATTTCTTTTGTCTCTATTCTTATGTTTGTTACTTTGGCATTAAAGTCTTACCAACATAAACACTGAATATAAAATGTATGCTTTGTGCACATATTCTTAAGTATATAATTGATAAGTTATGAAACAGTTGATTGAACACAGGTAGACAGTCATACTATACAATAATTAATGAAGAAAAGCCACCATGTTGTATCCTATTACAAATAATGCTATTAAAGTGATTGTGCCAATTTTAATGGGATTTTAGCATTCTTTTAGCATAAAAGTTGTTAATTTGGGATTTCAGGAACACATATTTATTCCATTGAAAATAGTGGCATGCACTCCCAATTTACAGGAATTTGCCCAGATCAAATTAATCTCAAGGAAGATCATGTTCTGAAAATGTTTTTGGTCATTTGTCTTTTGACTTTATGGCAATTTATGCTATAAAGGAACTGCATTAATCCATTCAACAACTACCTGAGTGTCTACCAAATTCTTGGTGCTACAGATACATCAACAAAAAATGGACAAAAATCCTTGCCCTCAAGGAGGTTATATTATACTGGACAAATTCAAGATTTCGTTTTTTACATTTCAATCTTACATTTATCTAGAGCTTGATATCACGTGACTCCTTTTTTACCAGTGTACAAGGTCTACAACCTTGTGATATCAAACCTCTACCACTGCATTAACACAAACTTTCTGGATAACAATTTTGCAATAAGTATCAAAAGCTTTAAAAAAAAAAAAAGCCTTAAAAATATGTATGCAAATACACCCAGCAATTTCACTTCTTAGAACTTAACTAAAAGAAATAATTAAAGCCATACATAGAGATTAAGACATTCATCACAGCATTTCAGCACTGAAAACTAGGAACAACTCAACTGTTCAATAATACGCAACTGGTTGAACAGCTTATGGTACTTCTATACAATATAAATCAAATACAATCACTTAAAATCATGTTTTATAAATTATAAGCAAAATGATATATCTTATCTAAAAATACAGGTTATAAGAGGGCGTGAACAATATTTTCCCATATATATTAAAAAATATAGATGGCTATATACCAAAACATTAACTGGTTATCTCTAGATTGTAAAAATAGAGGTGATCTTATCTTTTTTTTTTCTCTATTTTTCTATTAAATTAGAAAAAATTAATTTTTTTTCCCCCCTTTTTGTCTTTTTTCGTGTCCGGCAACGGATCACAACCCTCAGTGTCGTGCCCATACCGGACCGGGACCAGCGACAGGATCGCAACCCTCGGTGTCACGCCCGCACCTCGCTCAGCCAGTGAGCGGGAACCGGTCTGTATGTGGGATCCGAACCCTCGGCGGGAGCGCTGCCTCACTCCCAAGCGGCGCACTGTAGCAGTGCGCCACCGGGCCGGCCCAGAAAAAATTAATTTTAATAATGAGTCAATAGAGAATACACTATTTACAAAACTCAGAAAGTGTTTAAGACTTTCAGTTTAATCTTTATTACAAAGACTATTATAGAATAAGAGCCAAGGTGTATTTAAGTTTGCTCTTTTCTCCAAATAAAGTATTATGACAATTCTATAAAACTAGAGTACTCCTTAAAAAGAAACACCATAGAACATGCCCAATATTTATATTTGTAAGGTGATACTAGGTAATTAAAATAAAAATACACTTTGAGTTAGTTACCTATCCAAGGCTTCCTTGAAGTATTTTCTCTGGACATCAAACTGAAAGACCGTACGTTCACAATCAGTTGAGGCATTATCGCTACCCCCATGTTTCTTCAGGAAGGCATCAAACCCATTTTCATCTGGATATTTCAAACTACCCATGAATACCACTAAGTAGAAAGAACACAAAGTCACAGAACACAAAGATATAGATAGTATTTTTATTACCAAGGATGAACTTTCTTATATGGGTAGAAATACTGAAAGAAAATATATCAATACATTAACGATGGTTATGTTTGAATACTTTCTTCATTAAACTTCTGTTTTTGCAACTTTCTATAATGCTCATTCATTACTTTTATACTAAAAAAGCTCAAACATTTCATTTTTTAAAAGATAAAGAAAATAAATATATAATTTATTTATGAGGTTAAAGTTTAAACATAAGCATATATGCAGATTAATTGCTACTATAAAAATTCATAAGGTGAAAAGTTTTTCCTCAAATAGCTTACAAAAACAAAATATAAAAAGTAATTCAGAAAAACAAATACGGATTTAAGTATTTTTAACTGTATAATATCCACATAGATTTTTTTAGATGCACACATAATTAAACTGAAGGTTTCTGCTTTGTCTTGTTTTTATACTAATCATGTGTTTCTATTTTCTGTGTTTCTGATACTCTGACATCTTGGGGCCTTGCTAACCATGGAAGAGACTGCCCCCCCCACCCCAGGGCTAGCCAATTAAAGAATGGCAATAATCTCCTCATCTGTTGGCTTTACCATATCTGAATAATAACAACACCTACACTTTAAAATAGTTTTCTAAGCGATTTCATTCTAATCCTCAATATAAATACATTCAAGGAGATTAAAATTAAGTCTCCCCCTATGATACTCATAAGTCAAAATTTTTTTCTTAGCCATTTTGCTCTTATTAAATATATCATACTTCTATCAAACCAATTACCTATCTTTGAAATCAATTCATACAAATTTGAAGGGAAAATAACACACCCACGAATGATATTTTACAAGATCTTACTGTGCTCCAAAAAGTGTGCCAGCCCAGGCAGGTCATCTGGATCAGCAAAACTCCCAACTCCAACACAAAGAGCCGCTGCAGACTGGAGTAAGTAGAACACATACAAATAGTTGAGTCAATCCTAAGGGAAGATATTAGCATCTTATTTTAAGGATTAGTTTGGAGGTGGATGTTTTCCAATAGAAAGTAACAAAATTCTTTCCCTGAGAATCAGGAGGAGCAGCAAAGTGAAACTCACCAGAACTGTGTCAGTTTCACCCTGCTGCTCCTCCACTTGCCATCCTGCCAAATGCTGAACACGTGCAGACCTAAGGAAAAAAGCAGAAACAGACAGAAAAAAAGGGAAGAGGGACTGGCCAGCCCACCCAAATATCATTTCATGTCAGCATTTCATAATTTTGAACCAAGTTTGTTCTCCAAATTATTAGATTTTGGAAATCTGCAGAAGTAACACACCTAGGTAGATTATCTCTAAAGATCTCTAAGCAATTAAAGGCTCTGTGTTCAGTAACTCAGTTACTAGATGCAAAACCTCTCAATATTGACCCTGAAGGTTTTGTTTTTATTAAAATGGAGAGCAAATAACATTTTAGGAAAACATCTAACAAAGATAATAGGTAAATCGTTAAAGATAAACTTTAGCAATTAAAAACCTACAGAACTAAACTTTAAAAAGGCTTTTTAGTTCTTCACTTCTTCTTGAAGACATATGATATACATTACTTATCAGTACATCTTCTCCCAATACCTTGGAAAAATCAGAATTTTTAACAAAAAAGATGACCAAGAGGTACACCAAACTCTGCACTTAAAATGATTAGGGTATACGAATGTATCACTGTAAGTTAAAAGACACAAAAAGGAGAGAACAGTCAATTTGAATCCTTGAAGATAGTGAATTATAACTTTCCCAAATTTTATAAATATCAATTTTTCAAAGCTAACATATTTGGTGAAACAGTTTGTTTTGATAAATGGTTACCCTCTTAGAAAAAGAACTTTTTAAAAAAATAGCATGTACCTAAACATGTGTCAGAAAACGAAAGTATGTTTTTAGAAGAACCAAACAGCCTCACTTGAATACTATAAATCCCATATTGAAGACTTAGGCACATAAACTCAGTTAAAACATGGGGGAATATCCACTTCTTCAAACCACAGTCTAACCTGTTCTGGGATGTTTAATAAGTGCCTAACCTGCTTTCAGCTCCAACTACCCCATAAAGATTTCTTGTCTTGACCAGCAGGGTTGAAGACATTTTTGAATAAGTTGACTTAAACCACAGTCTATCAGTCAGCTTTGACCACAGCAAAAACAGGCTCTGCGATTGCTAGAAAAGAAATTCATACTTGAGAATTTTCTTCCCAAGAAATTCATACTTGAGAAATTCATACTTGAGAATTGAATTAAGAAAGCACTGAACAAATCGTAATTCAATATATATCATAGCTAAATTTCAATCTTGTTAATTTATCAAACTTTTCAGATCAAGAACAACTTTTCTGGGAGGATGAAATGGAGGGGGATAAGAAAGATGCCTCAGAAAAATAGTTAATTTCTTGATTCAGGTAAATGTTGTCCAAAAACTATCAAATTTTTTTCTTCCCACTTCCTTTTTTAATTAATTCTCATATTTACCTTAAACAAGGTTTACATTTTTCAAATAAAAATTAAATCATAAAACCACTGTACCACTCTTATGCCACCTCTTACCTAATCTACTTTATTTCCCTTTCCAGACACTTATTCATTTAATAAATATAAACCATTTTCCATTGTTACAATCATAGAATCTTTCCTTCCACTAATGTACCCATTACTTCTGAATCAAAACAATTTGATCTCCTCTTCAAACTACTTAGTTCCTCCATTTCATTTTAATATCCAAAAAATTAGTTGTAATATTTTATGAAGGATTATATCACACTGAGTCCTCAGAAAAGAAAGGCAGCATCTAAGCCATTCTTTTAATGATCACTAGAATCTAACCTTGTTGCTTTTAGAAAAAGGTAAACTTAGGATTTGATCCACCTAAGCAAAGTAAAAAGAGGTACCAAAAAGGCTAGATGTACATCTTCATTTGTCAAAGGTGTTCACAACTGCTGTATAAACTTAAGGTATTTTATAATGTCTTAATAATAAAAATGTCTATCAAAACAATTTTTAATTGTTTTAAATTGCTTTATCAGGTAACAAGATATAAAGAAGTCCAAAGCATGGGAAAAGCTACTTACAGATAGAAAGAAATTACTTGTAGATAGATATAGAAAGAAACTTATAAGGCAAGAAATATTCATTTAAGAAGCTATAACACGGCCAGCCTTTGAGCTAAAATGGACCTCAAAAATTACATAATCTTGTTTTAGAAATGAGAAAAAAATAAAACGAAAAAGTCTAAAATCATCCAGAAAGACAGGGACAGAGCCAGAATTTAGAACCCAGTTTTCCTGTCAGTGTTCTTTCCATTCTGTGACTTTTATAATTTCTTCCTTTCTATCATTGCTCTATTTGGAGTTATAAGATCTATTTTAAATTAAAAGTGAATTCCCAATTTGTTTTTAAGGACCTTAGCATAGATTATCAAATGATACATATATACACATTTTTCTTCAGTGTTTCCGTTTTCAACTCTAGAGCTCTCCAAGCATGCTGCCCCAAAATAGGCATCACTCATAATTTGAGTAGCAAAGGGCAAAAAGCTTTTTTAAAACATGACTCAATCTCAACAACTTACTGAAAGAACTGGTACACGATCTTTCTTTTAAAAAGTAATTTTTTCCAGGAAGAATGAAATCAAAGGATTTATTTAAAACATACCTAGTACTTGTACCTTACATCTTCAATCTTTGAGAGCTGACCACTTTTAAGTATTCATTTGACATCTAAATTTTAATCTTAATAATCTGACTGTAGGTCCTTTGTATGTGGACTATACCATGTTGAATGTATTATCGGTATTGAAAAAGCTAGCTTTAACAAATATTTACTAGTCAATTCCACTTTTATGCATCTGAAATAATATCCTCCAAAATGCATACTCCCTACTGCAAAATGAAGGCATTCTTTAAAAGACATCAAGGAAGAAAAAGGAAAGATACTGAAATGGAAATTCTCCACATCAAGCCCTATTTACCTATTCAGAGTGTTATTAAATATTAAACTAAGTTTAACTCCCCCACCTCTATTTCAACTCTTTCAATGCCCTTATTTGTCCAGACCTTTGGTACTCTCCCATAAAAAGGGATAAATTAAATTCAATTACCTAGACAGAAATTGCCCACATGATGACTCTTACAATTCTAGGCCCACGTAAAGATTCTACACTAGCCCCATTCTTTTCTTCTTCTTTTTCCAGTCTCTCTAGGATAATACATTTACTTATTCCTCTATCCTAGGATAAGAATTATGCAGATCCTCAACTCCCAGCATTTGTTTTTAAAACATATAATGTGCACAAATACACATAAATTCAAATGTTATTACTGATTACCTCTGAGAGATATGGTTATGGGTGATTTTTATATTTTTGTTTCCATTATATTTCATTTCTATAATGAGCATTTATTAATTTTATAATCAGAGCAAAATGTTTTCAAAATATAATCCTTACACAGAATAAACAGACCTTTACTGAAGATCAAAAGATAAATATATACTTTCTTTTTGTCATTAGAAGATAAAGCATGAGTTTAGATGTTGCCCCAAAGAAACTTCAAATTAGAAAAAGATAAAATAGTAAAAAAGACTCACACCTGTTTTTCAGTGGTTTTCTTTCTAGCTTCTGCCCTCTCTTCTAATTCCTCTAGTTCATTATCTTCAGTATCAAGATCATCATCTTCACGTTCATCTTCATCATCAAACTCATCTTCATCATCAAAACCTTCTTCATCATCATCTTCTATTTCGGCTCCAGAATCTTCATCATCATCATCATCTTCTTCTTCCTCCTCCTCCTCATCCTCTTCTTCATCATCTGTTGCACTTCCTGTTTTACCTTCCATGTTACTTAGGTCTGAAATCAAAAGTGCCTGCAAGCCATTCCGTAATTTGATGTATCTGAGGGAAAAAAAAATCACAAAACATTTTGATTTAGTTGTTCATTACATTAGACCAACACGAGTGATCAGCTTAGAATTTAAGGGGAAAAAATCCAATCACAAACACACACACACACACATAAAACCAGCACCATTTGTAAACTAATAAAATTGGTTGCTCTGGGGAAGGAACCACAAAAGCTAATCAGTTTCTGAAGAGCTGGAGGGAAATGTAGGGAGGGACACTTCACTACATACTCTGTTTGCATTTTTAGAAATTTGAACTATACAAATATATTTACTCATTCAAAAAATACATTTCAGAAGTTAAACATACATAACAAACCCATCACTCACTCGGCCTTCCCTACTATTTTGGGGGTTTATAAGTATAGGTTGAGCATCCTCAGTTTGAAAGTCTGAAATCCAAAATGCTCCAAAATCCAAAACTTTTTGAGCACTGATATGACACCACAAGTAAAAAATTCCACACCTGAAAAACACAAAAAGCCTGCCCTTGTTTGTTGTTGCTGTTGTTAACGGCTGATACGAGTATTCTGGTGATCCTACTGTGCTGCTTATTTACCCTGAATACATTATTTTTTCCACTTTATTAATGGTATGTCATATTTCTTACTGGTAAGTATATATGTGTTAATAAGTGTAAGAAAGTGATTGCTTATCAGTAGCATATAAATTCAGTCAGTAATGGTGGTGATGTCAAACAATCACAGATTTTCCACATGGGTGGCTAAGACAGAGATATTTTTGCTTTCTGATGGCTCAATGTACACAAACGCTTCACACACAAAATTGTTTAAAATATTATATAAAATTACCTTCTTCAAGCGAAGTGGTTGCATAAAAAAATAAAAATAAGGGCTGGCCAGTTAGCTCAGTTGGTCGGAGTGCGGTGTTGTAACACCAAGGTCAAGGGTTTGAGTCTGTGTACTGACCAGCCACTAAAAATAAATAAATAAATAAAAAGCTACCTTCAGACTATGTGTATGAGGTGTGAATTTTGTGTTTAAACGTGGGTCCCATCCCCAAGATATCTCATTATGTATAGGCAAATATTCTATAATCCAAAAAAGTCCAAAATCCAAAACGTTTCTAGTCCTAAGCATTTTGGATAAAGTGTACTCAAACTGTACATACACATTCTACCAAACCAGAAGACTTAGCCAAAGAGAAATAAATCTCTCAATATACAGAGCAATCATCATGCCAGCTTAAGTATTAAAGAAAAAAGTCACATAAATTTAAACCCTGATGACTTCCTTTTCTACAATGTATTTGACATTATACCAGTCTCCAAATCTGCTTTTATGGCTAAACAAATGGTTACATCTCTAAGAAAACTAAATCCCACAGAATAGTCATTTAGTAAAACTACTGTGTCAGTTTGATGACTACATGCTCATTACAAACTGCTCTCATTTATACTAATTGTCTTACATATTTATTCAGTAAGCATTTAGCACCTTTTACGTATGAGATGCCATGCTACATTAAGGATAAAAAGAATAAAAACCACAGTCCTCACCATCAGACGCTCACTGTCTAGTAACGAGAGAATCAAACTAGTACAATACAGAATGATACAGGTAAACACAGAATGTTAGAAAGAAGGAAGCAATCAGGAAAGGCCAGTGAAAAAAGGCACACTTAAGTCAAAGCTTGAAGATGAAAAAAAGAGTTAGTCAAGCAGAAACTAGGAAGAATAACATGCAAAAAAAGACAAGGAAGGAAGCCTCTGGCCCAAGGTAGAAGATTAAACACAAGATTATTTCCTTTCCATGGCAAAAATCACATTTATGTGGTAGAAAAAAAAATTGTGGTTATTTTGTTTGAGAATAAAATCATGATAGTTAGAAAACAGAAAAGGACACTGTTAGCAGATCACAAATTTTTAGAAATTATTAGAAGACAATACGCAAGTCTGATAAGATCAATAGAGAAAACAGCAAAGAAACTCACAGACCTACATACATGTAATAAGATATTGGTTCTTCCCAAGAAAGTCTGGAGAAAGCCTAAGCTTCAGATCAACAGATAAGAAGAGTAGAGAGTACCGCAGGACAATAAGCTCAATTATTAAACTGGAAACAACCCAAATGTCTACTGACAACAGAATTGAAAAACTGTGATATATTCACACAGTGAAATTTTTTTTCATACGATGGAATATTATAAAACAGGGAAATACATAATTCAACAACAAGCTACAACACTGGTTAATCTTAAAAATATAATAATGAAAAATGCAAGTCACAGAAGACTATATATATCATATGAGTATCAGTCATATAAAGCCCAAAAAACAAGCAAAAGTAAACAGTATGTTGTTCATGTATACATATATATGTGATAAAAAATACAACACTGGTTAATCTTAAAAATATAATAATGAAAAATGCAAGTCACAGAAGACTATATATCATATGAGTATCAGTCATATAAAGCCCAAAAAACAAGCAAAAGTAAACAGTATGTTGTTCATGTATACATATATATGTGATAAAAAATTTTTTTAAGCAAAGTAATGATAAACACAAAAATTCAGAATTGTTGTTGGGGTGGAAGGGCAATGTGGGAGGATATGGAGAGACAGGATGATGAAGAACACAGAAGTAGATCCTAGTTCTTAAGTTGAGTGACAGGTTTTTCATTTTGGATTTGTTATTCGCCACTTACACAGAAATTGCAATTACAAAGAAATCACAAAGAAACAATTACAAAGAAATTGTTTTCTTTTGCATATATCAAATATCACAGTATTGAAAAATTTCAAAAGGTAATTAAAGAGCTTCATTCAGTTATAACTTGGCCAGTCAATGGCCAGCCATTGTGCCAAATAATCAACGGTAGGAGGCCAGAATATGCCACCCCAAAATATACCTCTTTGGCTTAAAGACTGTTGAGCTGAAGGCAATTAAGAAGAAGCAGATACAGGAAAGCTCTCTGCTCTCCCTTTATTTGCCTAAAAGCAGGACATAAATTTACAAGACAAAAGATATCCCAGCCCACTACCTCCTTTCTACCAGGAAGAACAAAGGTTAACCACTGAAGACAACTTTAGATCCTTATTGGCCTGGAGATGGCACCAGAGAAATCTACATGTACAAGCTTTACTAACTAGCCTCTGTCTGCCATTCATTTGCCTTTCTCTAAGTTGCCACTCCTAGAGACTCAAAGTCCTTTTCCTGTCTTGTCGCTACTCTAAAAATTTACTGTTCTTTGTTGAAGATGCTATATTAGCTGGAATTCAAAGACAACTTTCTGAAAATTTACTCATTCTTTGGGTATCTCCCAGTATACATGAAACATACATATTAACAAACTTATATCTGTTTTTCTCTTATTAATTTGCCTTTTTCTACAGGAGTCTATTCCAACTAAGAATTTATGAGGGATGGCCGGCCCGGTGGCGCACTGCTATAGTGCGCCGCTTGGGAAGCGCGGCGGTGCTCCCGCCCGAGGGTTCGGATCCCACATACAGACCAGTTCCCGCTCACTGGCTGAGCGAGGCGCGGGAGCAACGCTGAGGGTTGCGGTCCCGTTGCCGGTCCCGGTCCGGTGCGGGGGCGATACTGGGGGTTGCGATCCGTTGCCGGACACGGAAAAAGAAAAAAAAAAAAAAAAAAAGAATTTATGAGGGTTGAAGAAAAAATTGTTTTCCTCCCCTACACAACCAAATAGCAGTAGGAGAAACTAAAATCCAAGAGCTGTTTTCCAAGAATGCAAACAATCTGTCCAGAAATAAATTCTAAGATGAATCTTAGAAGTGCAGAATTTTAGAGAAACAAAGTTTAAGGTAGTCCCATACATACATATCATACATCAAAGCAGGCTGGAAAAAAGGGGGAGGATAACTCTGCTCGCGTCTTTTTAAGACACATTTTTTTTTTTACAAGCTTAAAATTTTCAAAAATAAGAGAACGGGAAAAAATCTAAAGGCACTCTACTTTAAAAAAAATCCTATGCACTATCTTCAAAGTAAATCACAAATCTGAGAACTTCTCATCAACCCCACAGCCACTTCCTCAGCCCACGCTGTCACCAGGTCTAGTTTCCTCCTAACTGGTCTCCCTGATTCCATTCTAACCTGAATATTCCAGCATACCTATACCATCCCACACACATACCTCAAGTCTACTCTCAGCAGCCTGTATGAAGCAGATCAGTCTTGTTAAGGGCTGAATTGTTCCCCCCAAATTTACATATTGAAGCCCTAAACCCCACTTCCTCAGAATGTGACTGTATTTAGACATAGGGACATTAAAGAGATGATTAAATTAAAATGAGACCTGTAGGGCCGGCCCGGTGGCGCACTGCTACAGTGCACCGCTTGGGAGCGCAGCGGCGCTCCCTCTGAGGGTTCGGATCCCACATACAGACCGGTTCCCGCTCACTGGCTGAGCGAGGGGTGGGCGCGACGCAGAGGGTTGCGATCCCGTTGCCGGTCCGGTACGGGCGCGACACTGAGGGTTGCGATCCGTTGCCGGACATGAAAAAATACAAAAAAAAAAAAATGAGACCTGTAGGGTGGGCCCTAATTCAATCTGACTGGTACCCAAGGAAATATGGACACACAAAGAGACATCAGACATGTGCACACAGAAGACCATGTGAGGAGATACCAAGAAGACCGCCATCTACAAGCCAGAGAGAGAGAGAGGCCTCAGAAGAAACCAAACCTGTAGACACTTTGATCTTGGACTTCTAGGCTCCAGAATTGTGAGAAAATAAATTTCTGTTGTTTAAGCTAAACTGTCTATGACATTTTGCTATGGTAGCCCTAGCAAACTAATACAAGGACATCACCCTTCTTGAAAAGCATCAGTGGCTTCACATCATACTTGGAATAAAATCCAAAATCCTTACCACGGCCTACAAGGCTCTTCATAATCTGGCTCCCTACTACCTCTCCATGCTTCTTTCCCACCACTTTTTCCTCATTCTCTTTGCTCCAACCAAATGACTTCATTGTTTTTTGAACGTCCAAACAGACTTCCA